AAAAATGTCGATATAGAAAGATTTTACTATGATGTCGTTATATCCAGATGTCGGTATAACCAGAGTGACGTGTATAATATAATAAATTAACTAATCAGATTAATTTATACTAATATAATCGCTTGTAGGATAGTGTGCATTTCACTAAAAATTACTTTACTTTACTGACAGCTTAATCCATTAATAATTAATTTATAAACAAATTCATTTCACTAATAGTTATTTTACTAGCAGTTCATTTCATTGATAAAGTAATTTTAGTTATTTTATTAGAATTAAGTTAGAGTTAAGGTTAGTGCATTTTATAAAAAATAATTGTTAATGAAATGAGTTGTTGGTAAAATAACTGTCAGCGAAATAAACTTGTAAGTTAATTGTCAGTGAAGTAATTGTTAATAAAATAATATATATCTTATATAGTATATATTATATTATATATTATTTAACTTACAAACTTACATGTAAGTTACATGGCTTTTAACTTACCTTACATAAAAAAATTAAAAATTGATGTAAATTTACAACCCTAATTACAACCTTAACTGGAAATGTAATGCATAACTTCTGTAAAAAAGGGTTGGATCATGTCTTTTGGCCAATTTACTCTTCTAATTTTTGCTGAAAAAAAAATAACGAAAGTGTTGACTGTCTGTTATTGATTCAAGTGTTATTACGATCTTGCTCAAGATGCTACATTCAAGTCTAAATCTTACTTTTTAGAATAATGTTGTTTAATATAAATATTGCTAATATTATTAGGTACAAAACTTTCAAATTAACATTTTTCCATTTATGTGCCAGATATTACTTGAATATAATATGTAAAATAACAATTAATTTATTAATTTGCTTCATATAATTTCTTATGATATTAAGTAATGGTAAGAAAAAAACAATATTAGAATCTTAAACATGAGAATTATCTTTACTAGTTATTTCTATAGATTATTTAATTACAAAGTAAATATGGAAGCCATATATCAAGTCAAGCAATTTCTAGTAAGATAAACTTGTAATTCACCCATTTTCCTACAAGCAAGACACATATATGGCAGTCCCAATAATGTAAATGGTGGAAGTGCCCATATAATCATAAAGATGGCAGAAATAAGAAATATCACCATTGCGATAAGTTTAATTATTGCAAAATAAATAAAGCATTTCCAAGTATATTTATCTGTACACAATGAGACGGCAAATCTTATCCGTCCAACCTTTTCATTTGAAGTTCTAAGTATCGGTGGTAATATATCATCTTGATGAATTGTGAAACATGCTCCGGGTTTTGTACATGTTTGTGCTGTCAGTATTTCTACTCTTCCTAGCGCTCTGAAAAAAATGTTGGTATTTGAAAATCAATAAAATAACAATACTATCTATTCAACGATATATTTATCAAGATAAATTAAATTGAATACCTC